ACATGCCTACCTGTAATCATTTAATCAGAGAAATAGATTATAATAGGGAACATTACAGTGTAATATTCCCCATTATAATCCACTTTTCTAATTACATAAAATAGCAGTACATAACAGAGAAATAGATTATAATAGGAAACATTACAGTGTAATATTCCCCATTATAATCCACGTCTAATGACATGATGTAAGAAACCCCTTCCCCCGCTCAGACTCACCCTTCCAGGAGCAGCAGCCATGTGTCGATGTGTGCAATCACTGCTGGGGGCGGGGCGTGTGACACACACACGTCTCCTGTGACTCACCTCCCCTCCCGCCGCCTGTTACTATGGACGCGGCCGGGAGGGGAGGTGAGTCACAGGACCCGCCCACTCACTGTGAAGCCCGTCGGCAGTGCGGGGCCCCGGTGTTCGAACACCGGGACCGTGCACTGCCATGTATTGCATGACCGGACCGCACTGAGACTGTGCGGCCCGGTACCATTTGATCCGCGGACCGGTACCGATCCGCGGACCTGGGGTTGGGGAACACTGCCCTAGACGACTGACAAATGATGCTACAGAAGCCGCTAAGCAGGCTATCATTTTAACATCAAGAGGAGGCAATTGGAATATCAAGAAGCTTGTAACACCAAAGCTCATGTAACATCCAAGAAGAATTCCCCTTTAGCATCAACGTAGAAACTTTGCAAACCTCACTTGGAGAAAAAGCTATTGAGATCCATCTTTTGTGCATTAAACTGAACTCAGAACTTACTAAACCCAGGACTTGTTAAGTACTCTGTTTGTATTCCTTTGTATTTTACTGTTATGTCTCTTTTTTGTTAACTTATTTTTTTTACTGTATATTTTTCCTGTACCATTTCTTATATTAAAGGATGATCTTAAAAATCGTTAGGTTTATCTCTACACTCTAAATAATAACTTGAAGTATCCTTGTCTCCACGAAGAGTGTTACTGTATAGGGAAACCTGTCATATTTCTGTCTGAAAGAACAGTGGTGTCATAGGCTTTGTTTAAGTCTGAGAACTGTGCGTGTTACCATTAAAACATGTGGTGGCAGCTACTGTTTTGTGTGTAAAGGGTTAACGCCCTAGTGGTGATCGCTATCAGTCTGGTGGCCTGTGATTGTTGTCACTGGGAAATCACTGTGCAGGGTAAGGCTAGGAGTGGTATCGCCACAGCCTTGTGATGGCTCGGCTGGTTTGGAACTGCGTATAGTCATGTGTTAGTGATGTACAGTGGCAGGCCCGTCTTTAATATTGATCGGACCCTGGGCAAACATTTTCTTGGCCCCCCACCAAGAAAAAAAGTGAGACACCCGTGCGCACAGCCTCACGTCCTCCAGTGAAGCCCGTGCCGTGTGACATGTCACGCTATGCGGGCGGGGCCGTGGGAGGAGCTAACTTTAGGATGCGATCGTGCAGATCGCATAGGACAATACGTTATGGCATTGCCGTATGCGGCTGCTGCCATAACGTATTATTCTAGGCAATCCGATCGGCAATTTTCTGCGGGCAGCGGGCTCAAGGGGCAGATGCTCTGGGCCCCACAACCTTGATTGGGCCTGGGGCAAGTGCCCTCTTTGCCCTGCGTTAAAGACGGCCCTGTACAGTGGATTCGGTCCTGACCTGTCTGTCACACTAGCCACTGGTTTACCCTGGTCTGGTCTGCAGAGCTCAGCAGTCTGGGCCTATTTCACACACCTGCTACAGACAGCACTGTGGTGGTTTGCAGCCTTTGCCTGCAGCGTATAAAGTCTGGTAAATCTACCAGCCATTTGGGTACCACATTTGGGAAACACATGACTGTTCACTACAAAGCTCAATAATTTGGTTGGCAGCAAATAGCCCACACTCATCCTTCTCCACCTCTCCACCTCTCCCTCACTATATAAAAATGTCCATTTGCATACAGCTATGGGATGGAAGTCTTACGAGTTTGAGAGGCTCACATTATGGCACACCAAGAGGAAAAAATGGCCAGCATGGGGTCATGCAGAGAAGAGCCAAGTGTATGTTTGAACCTTGCAGTAAATCTCTTAATCCGATCTTGCTGTCTCCAACTGCATCCTTAACCAGACAGGTGCTCTTCCCCAGCTGCTGAAATGTAAGAAAAAATGTTCTCCCAGTAAACTTTCATACCCTGTGTCAAAATGTCAGATGTGCAAAATTGCTGGCTATACGGTTACCAGCTATAATTTTTTTTCCCCCTATAAGGCCATCCCTGCCCTTCACCAGCATGTGGAAGCTAACCTCTCGGTGCTGCTAGACCACGCAGTCAGCAGCAGGGTCCATATAACCACTCTACACATGGTCCAGCAAACATGGACAGGGACATTAAATCTTTCTTATGGTGCACAGGGTAAATTTGCTGACCATCAGAAGGATGCAGGACAGGGTAAACCAGTGGAGCTGCTGCCCTGTGTTCTCCAACTTAACCCCTTCTCCTCTAATGACCTCATCCGGTGATTATACAGCAGGGGTGGGGAACCTCTGGCCCTCCAGCTGTGGTGAAACTACAAATTCCATGAGGCATTGCAAGATTCTCACAGCCACAGGCATGACTCCCAGAAACAGAATCATCATGGGATTTTTAGTTTCACCCCTGCTTTACAGAAAAACCAGTCCCCCCAAGCGACCCAGAGCCTACGCAATGACCCAGACAAAATGCGGCTATCCTGTTTTGCAGTTGGTATGTCTGGTATGGTGACACAAGTTGATATGGTGACACATATGCCTTGCCTGGCATACATCCTCAACGTGGTGGTGCAGCAGTTCCTCTGGTGTTTGTGCACTGCATGGTGTATTAGACTAGGCACTGGAGCCACAGCAGCAGAACGAAGAGGAGGACTTCCTGGTGTCTGAGGGCCACTTAATCCTGGCTCTGTCCCTGTGAGGCAGCACCAGGCACAGGACGAGCACAAAGAAGGGGTTTGGGGTGACAGCAGTGAGGAGGACATGGAGCTGGCTTTCAGGAGTACATTTCACGTCTCCCAAACCGTAGGAGTTGTACATGGGTGGGGTGAGATACTTGAGGGCACAAGGAAATTTGTGGTGATGGGCTTATTAATGCTTCGGTGCCTGTGTAGAGACCCCAGGATTTGGCCCATCAAGGAAAGAGGCTATTAGTTGGCCACCCTTTTGAATCCACATTACAATTGGAAAATGCCAGAGCTTATCCTGCCGTCACGAAGGGAGCAAAATTGCACCATCTGGAAAAGGTGCTGCAGGGGAACCTCTTGTCAAGACCAGATAAAGACACTTCAGTCAGAGTATATTGTGGCCTGGACTTGTGATGCCCAAATAAAGTGCCACAAGCCAATTCCAAGGCTGAGGGGTGTGTGGCCAGACTCATTAGCCCACAACTAATGGAGAGATGCTGGAGGTATGTAGCCAGGCTCATTAGCCATCATCTGACAAAGACTTCTTTGACAGGCAACCACCAGAAGGAGCTGGGAAGTTGCGACAGACATAGGAACATTAAAAAAAAGCCTAACACTTCCTAACATGTCGTTCTTTCCAGAGAGTGGCAAGAACCTCTTTATTGGCCAATGTGGCTTATGGCAATGTGGTTGCCAGCTCAAAGCCACACTGCAGCAAGTAAGGATCCCGACAATATTGTCGGGATCCACCCTGCTGCCTAAGTGACATCTGGCTCTGAGCAATCAAAGGTTATATGATAGCTCAGCTCCCGGCATAGAGCTGGCATGTGACAGCTGAAGCATCCAACGCCGACTCTAAGCAGCGGGGAGAGTATGTTTTACGCCCCAAAAACTTCTTCCTTAATGTGCACATTGTTATGTAAATATTTGCCTAAAGGAAAGTGGAAATGTGACAAATACATCAGCTTTTATCTTACAAAGGAAATTATAAATATTGTTGCATTGGATAGCAGTTCCAATTTGCCAAAGTATGCCTTGTAAAGTAGCCTCTCGTAATAGCCAGCTTCTGATTTGTAAAGAGAGGTCCCCCTTCACTTCTCTCATATCCTTTCTTGTGGCTAGGGATGCACCGATACTGGTCATTTTCACGAGTACCTGTACTCGTGAAAATGCCTCGATACTAAGTGCTGATACTGGCACTGTAAATGGTTAAATTGAAGCCGGTGCACGTACATCTTATTTTCCTGAAATCACACTGCCTACACCCACCCTGGAGACCAACCGGAGACCCCCATAGACCCCGCACAGCCCCCCATAGGCCCCGCACAGCCCATCATAGACCCTGCACAGCCCTCCTAAGACCTTGCACCACCCTCCTAAGACCCTGCACAGCCCTCCTAAGACCTTGCACAACCCTAAGACCTCGCACAGCATTGACCCCTCACAGCCTCTTTGAGACCCCTCGCAGCCTCTTTGAGACCCCTCGCAGCCTCTTTGAGACCCCTCACAGCCTCTTTGAGACCCCTAACAGCCCTCCTAAGACCCTGCACAGCCTCCTGAGACCCCGCCCAGCCACCTTCAAATTTCTCTGCCTACAGGCTCCTGAGAAGTAAATCCAGACCTGGGCCCAATAAGCTTTTTTGCACAGGGGGCCTTTGGTGAATGTTCATTACTGGCGCGTTCACAGAGGCTGGACAGACATTGCTTTCTACGTCACCTGCTTCTTGCATCTGGATATTATTCAAAGGCTAACTCCGCCTTTCATACCATCTTTCACGTCCATATGCATAAGGGAGGGTTATACCCCCTGTCAGCTTCCTACCCCGTCCCCACTTTAAAGGATAACAGTTCACAGGACAGAGGGCGAATCCCATATGGTGACAAAGATAGCAATAAAAATCTTACAGGGGATCTAATTGCTCACCACAAAAAAGTTTTGTCTTTATTTGCACTTTACATGTAATTCTCCTTACAGTTCACATCTATCTAAAACTATATGTCACTAGAGGTGTGTTTATCAGACACAATGACGTTTTGCTACTGTCTTGTTTACTGTGTGTAAAACATTTGCTCATTGTTCTCCTCGCAATAAAGCTTTGTTGTTGTAGGCGGACACACTAGGCGCCTTGAATTACGCTCGGGCCATTAATCTCGCGAGATTAGCCCAGTGAGCGCGTGGATTTTGTCGTGTGCACGGAGGGTCACTTAGCAGCGAGAAGATGGCGGACGTAATCGATAACGGGAATGAGATGAAACTGCCTGTGGGGATAGACGAAGGTAAGCTCGGTTTAGGAAGGGTGTCAACGGGCTGCAGGTATCCAAGGTCGAGGGGGTGTGACCGGCCTAGGCCTTTCTATGAACGCCGGCTCATCTACGTAGACACTGCAGGCCTCGGCATTCTGCTTTCACCTAGGGGCTGGGAGGGGGGAGATCTATAGGGGCGACAAGTCATCATCCTCCACAGGTCTTGTTACAGAACACAAACACTGTACGGATCCATAGTTCTGTTTGTCCACGTTTGTATGAGAAGGACTGCAGAGGGGAGCGTGACAAAGATGGCGCGGGTGGGGGGAGGGGAAGAGAGAGGGGGGGAGAGGGAGGGATAGGGGAAGAGGGACCGGGGAAGAGAGATGGTGGGATAGAGGAAGAGAGCGGGAGAGGGGAAGGCATGGGGGAAGAGATGGTGGGAGAAGGGAAGAGATGGTGGGAGAAGGGAAGAGATGGTGGGAGAAGGGAAGAGATGGTGGGAGAAGGGAAGAGATGGTGGGAGAAGGGAAGAGATGGTGGGAGAAGGGTATTAGAGAGAGAGAGGGGAGCGGGAGAAATGGAGGGAGAGGGGAGCGGGAGAAAAGAGCCTGGAGAGAGAGATGGAGGAATAAGGGGAAGCGTGAGATAAATAAAGGGATAGGGGGAGAGGAGTGAGCATGAGAGTGATAATTGGGGAAGTACATGTACTCTTTAGGCTCTGTTCACACCTAGGCATATCGAATATGCGCCTTTGTCGCACGTTTCGTGACGCGCGTTTGCAGTTAAAAAAAAGCTACTTGGCTGTATCCCAATGGAAACGCCCGATAAAAACACCGCAAAGCTCATGTACCTTTTCGTGCGCAGGCCGTTTTGTAGCGCGTTCAGACGGGATGAAATACGGCAAGGTGTGAACCATACCCATAGAAAACAATGGGATTTTCATGTTTGAGCGTTTTGTAGAGCGTTGAACGCGCTACAAAACGTACAGGTGTGAACCAGGCCTTAAGCCTTCTGTGCTGCATCAAGTGAAAGCAGAACTTTTAACAAAAATCCCTAAACATGCCTACTATAAAGGCATGTGTACTAATATATATGTTTTAATTGTGCGTTCTAGCTTCGAGTGTATAAGTGGCCACGCAGCTAGATGTAGTTGAAACACAAATGTATTTCTATTCAGGTAATTTTTATTTTCCTTGCATACCTACCAGGAAATATAAAAGGTGCTGACAATTTTTTTTTTTATTGCACACAAAGCAGTGGACAAGACTTTGGCTAGTGAAAGAATAGCATCACTCCAAGATGTGATCACATCTGTGCGCTCCCCTAATCATTTTAGTAATTGGGTTCCTGCATACCTAGTGCCTCTGTTGCTTCAGAGATGGATTTCTTTGCAGCAGCAGAGGCATTAAGTATGCAGAAACCCAATTGGATTAAATAAGGGGCTTGCATATAAGCATACAGTTAAATGGACTTATTTTGAACTAAGTTGTTTTTCCGCTGGTGTTCGGATGTAATTGCACACGGAGTGATCCCCCTGTGAATCAGAAATCTGCTGATTTCTCACTGCAGCTGGAAAGTCTATGCTGTGTGATTGAGCTAATAAACCCCCGACTCTGTTGGGATCTCTGAGGGTTTCTACAGTGTACCTGTGTCATGACTGGACAGTAAATTCTTCAGTAACAGCCCAACTACAGGATAAGTAATTATTTTCCAAATGGCATGTGTATTCTTAAGCTGGCCATACACATTGAGGGCCCTGTCACACCATGTCCATGCACCAGATCTGCACGCATTTGTGACGCATTCTAGATACATTCCAGTGCAGGGTTTTTTTTGGGGGGGGGTTGTCTTTCAGATTAATCTCTGAGGTCACTTTCTGCTCGTAGCACATCCTCTTGTTTGTGTGAACTAGTGAGTGTTTGATGGCTATTGCAGTCCTGTAACAAAGATCTACAAAAGAGCAGGGTACATGCAGTCAGTTTGCAGCTACATCAAAAGAGCAGTATGCATGCTATCAGTGTGCAACTACATAAAAAGAGCCATATGCATGCAATCAGTGTGCAGCTACATCAAAAGAGCAGTATGCATGCAATCATTGTGCAGCTACCTCAAAAGAGCAGTATGCATGAAATCAGCGTGCAGCTACCTCAAAAGAGCAGTATGCATGAAATCAGCGTGCAGCTACCTCAAAAGAGCAGTATGCATGCAATCAGTGTGCAGCTACCTCAAAAGAGCAGTATGCATGAAATCAGCGTGCATCTACATCAAAAGAGCAGTATGCAGCTACCTCAAAAGAGCAGTATGCATGCAATCATAATACATGAAGAGTTTGTACTCACGACAGCGCTCCTTTTTGGCTCTTCTCATTCGTGTAAAATCAGGATGCAATTGAACGCCGTTTTTTAGTCCTGCTTGTATTGTTTTATTCAGGATGTCTCGGGTCATATAGTTTTTTTTTTTCATTCTGTTGCGTTCCAGTGCAGAGAAAATGTGACATGCAGTATTTTTTTCAATTTATTTTTCCTGCACTGGTATGAACAGAGCCCTGAAATCGCATACAAGTGCATTGGGATTCACACCATGTCCGGATCAGATGCGGTACTTTACATTTTTCTAACGCACCAAAAAATGCATCCCAATGCATTTGTATGTGATTTTTGGGCTCTGTTTACACCAGTATGTTCCGGTGGAGGAAAAAAAAATGCTGTCACATTGTTCCTGCACTGGAACACATCACAAAAGCACAGCACCGGAACACAACAGAAGCTATGACATGCAGCAGGAAGAGGCTACTTTGCATAATGACATTACCCCCTAAAAAAAGCAAAACACACTGGAACGGGTGCATATCTGGTCCTGTCATGGTGTGACAGGGCCCCGAATGGGCCCTAAACCCCTCCCCCCAGCATTTTTTTGCTGACCAGATTTAGGCAGGGCTGACTGTCAAAATACAATAGCTGCAACGGAATATGTCTCCATCCACACGGTTTAGTTTTAGGATTCCTCCATACATATAGGTGTATGGCAAGCCTTACTTGCAAGTCAGTAGCAGACGCAACACATCTGTGCACAGGCAGACATGCCTGTCAGCATAGTGTTGAATGGCAGGAAGTTTACTATGTTTCGCCATCATACTGGCTTATTGGTAGAAAATGGATTTTCTGTTGCCGAGTTTTTATTTAACACCTGGAAAAGGAAGGTTCTAATGGCTAAATGTACAAGTGGTGTACATAGTAAGGATCTGGTATCTATTAATATAAGCTATTAACTAGGGCTGCAACAACTAATCGACATAATCGATTATAATCGATTACATGTTTAGCAATTTGTTTCATCATAAATTAGCTGCTCAGGGAAAGTGGTTTTAATAAGAGTTCAACATGGATAAAGAACAACCGTCTTCCCATCAGAAGTAGTAAGAAAAAAATGTTGGGATCACCACCATGGAAAAGCAGGAATGCTTTGAAATATCAACCAAAGAAAGCAGTGTGCATTGATTTAAATATTCTTTCATAAGTATTTTACAGCATTCCTACTTCTGTGGTCGTCTGCTACAGCTTGTTCGAGAGTGTTCAAAAATAAATGCTTAAAGTGGAGATATAAAACTAAAATTACCTGTCACTGTCTTAAAATAATGCTGGTAAAACAAAACAAGATCAAGTATTTTAAATGCTCGCTTGCAGTGGTGTTTTGTTCCATAAAATATTTATTCGCTTGTGCCTCCTGAACTTGCTGGCACATTTGATTGCTCCAGGAAGAGTCAGTTCGATAGCACAGCCCCTTCCCTCCTTGAACGTCATAGCCTTCTTTTTTTTAACCTGTGCTGGGCCAGCTCCTTCACCCCTCCCTTCACTTACCTACTTGACTATGTAGCTGCTGGGAGACGAGTGATGGGGAATTAATCTCAGTTGAGTGACAGCTGTTGAGTATGCTCGTGCTGCAAACATCAAAGAAAAATGGTGGAGCACAGCAGTCTTAGAGCTTTTTGATGTCTGCACAAGTAAGGCTTGTACAGGTAAATAACATGCATAAAATGTTAAATGCCCATATAGTTTTATCAGCAGATCATTGTGGTCTGGTGAAGGGTCTCTTTAACAGCAGGTGACACAAGGTGAAAGCTGCTATCCCTTTTGATTTAGTTTGACATAGTTACAAAGTGCTTGATGTCTAGGCTAAGCCCTGCCACTTATGTCTCTTGTGCCAAAAGATTCTACCTGGTGATTTTTACTTCCACTTCAATGTGTACTGCTCGGCATGTATTCCTGAAATGAGAGGCTTTACATTATTGTAGTGTTGTAGTCAGATGTGCCACAATAAGCTGAGGTAGACCCCCAGGCAAATACTTTTGGCAAATACATTTTAGAACACATGAATGTTGATCTCAGGGCAAGGCATTTTCCTCCCCTGAGATGTGCATGGTCACATGTGCCAGAGTTCCAGGAAGCAATAGGAGATCTAGTAACATGGCCACTGTCCGAAGACTGGGAAAGAAAAGAGAAATAGGGTATGCAAAGAATACAAAGCCTGCAGTTATCTTGAAGTATGTGTTTGTAGATTGTCATTACTAAACATTTCTAAAGGTGTGTTTGTTGTTTTAAAGATATGGGTAAAAGTCCTGGTTCACACTGAGTGTTTTGTAGCGCTTTTTTCTGCCATAAAAAACGCTCCAAAAATCCCGCAAGGTAGGGAGACTAGGTGGACCTTAAAACAAAATTTTGTTTTTGAAGTGCGTATGTGTGCGTGAGAATGTGTCAGTGTTTTTGAGGGCCCATTCAGTGCGATTAACACACTGTACCACGCAATCGCACCTCCTATGCGTTCCGGTATGAGAAGTGCATTGTCATTCATTTGAATGGCACCCCAAACGCATCTCCCACCCATAGTTCTATTGCCCTCATCGGAACATGTGTGATACTGCAATGCCATGAGTTCCATTGCAGTGCAACTTGGGTCACAACTTAATGACTAAGGACAAATGTGGGTCGTGAGGTTACACAGATTGAGAACCACTGCTCTAGTGGAAGCAGAAGATGTGTGATTTAGTATACCCTGATCTTTTGCCTTTTCTCCCTTGAAACAATTTATTTGGCAATACAGACAATTCACTGCTCCAATTCCCAGGCCACATTAAATAGTAATCATATCACGGGCGTGGGCAAAACGGACACGCCTCCAATGTATGGATTCTTCTTGCAAACAAACTGCACTTCATGAATCTTTGTAAATTTAAAGTAACTTTTTATTGATATAAAAAGTACATACTATGAAACAAAACATGCGTTTCACCAATCTGGCTTAATTACAGGGCATTTAGGTGAGCCTTGTTTCTCCTGAGTGGCTCAGTAGGATGAGGTATTCCAACCTGGTGTATGGTCCATGGGCACTGTCAGAGCATTCGGATCTTCTGTCCCAGGGCCAGATTTTCCATCCTGCATCACAGTTGCTTACTCGAACAGCATGGCTCTTGAAGCCCAGGTTTTGAGGGACAGTGGGATCTCTGAAATTTTAATTTACACAATGTTAAAAGCTAGGAAATCTACTTCTGGCGAGGTCTGTTATAAGACTTGGAAAGCATACTTCACTTGGTGTAAGTCTTGGGGCTTCCACCTTAGGAGATTTCAGGGGTACAATCCCTCTCCTTCCTTCAGCTGGACCATTGTTTGGACCTCCGCGCCATTAAAGGTCAGGCTTCTGTTCTTTCCATCTTGTTTCAAAGACCATTGGCACCTCATTCATTGATTAAATACCTTTCTACTGGGAGTCCCCCATGTAGCTCCTCCTATTTGGTCACCTGTGACTCTATGGAAACTAAATTTGGTTCTGAATTTCAAAAAACACCATTTGAACACATTAGAGACCTTTTTCTCTCTCAATGCTCCCCTACAAGATAGGGCGAGTGTCTTTACTGGTGGTCTTGTACTCTTAAGGCAGGGGTCTCAAACCTCTGGCCCTCCAGCTGTGGTGGAACTACAAATCCCATGAGGCATTGCAAGATTCTCACAGACATGACTCCCGAAGAGAGATGCATCATGGGATTTGTAGTTTCACCAGCTGGAGGGCCGGATGTTTGAGACCCCTGTCTTAAGGAACATTTTAGGTTTTATATAGGAACATGTTTGTGTTGAAGCCCGGAACTTACCTAAAGGTAGTCTCTGTCTTCCATCTCAACTAAGACGTTGTTCTTCTGTCTCAGGTTCTACTTCCCTGTGTTTTTGATCATGCTCTTGGTACTGCTTTGCTACTGTAGTAGGAGGGTTTATTCTGGGCTGGCCTACAATTTTAATTTGCCATTGTCCAATCCTCCTGTAGATGTCGGCATAACTATAAGGTTAAACACTTCATATGTCCCTCAATGGGCTCAAAGAAAGGATTTTTGTATGCCGTGTAAAATCCTTATTTTAACACTTCTCTTGTATTCTTATTTTCAGTAAATCGTCTAATCCAAGAAAACAGCCACCTTTTCTCTGATGGCCACTGTAAAGTATGCAGTGCTGTTTTGATTTCTGAGTCACAGAAGCTAGCACATTATCAGGTAAATGTCTCAATGTTTAAAGTAAACCTCTCAGGTGATCAGTCTGTGTAAAAGCGTGTGCACTTGTGCGTACAAGTTTAAGAAGTATAGTTTGTGGTGGGTTTAACCGCCTGCTGTCCTGCCGTTGTAATTAAAGGGCCGGACAGCGGCTTCTTGGATGCGGGTGGGCATTTTTAGAGGTCCATCCCGCACTCTCGTGCCCGGCGCTAGTAATGTGCCTCACTCAGACGAGTATCCTCCTACTGATTATTCACATTGATCCCGATGTCCAAATTTTTCTGCTTTCCTATAGTAATAATTTTCAAATGCAATCAGCTTACCAGTTTCCCAATGATACTGTTGGGTGACGACTTGGACAATGGCCCTCCCAGATCTAATATAATCCCCCAGCCTGCACCAAAGGGGCCCAACAACAGCATGTGTACAAGTATTTGTTAATCTTCTATTGGTTTTCTGTGGTTCTGGAAGCTTAATCACAGGTTCACGTCATACATAAGGTGTTGACTTCTGGCTCACCTTTCTACAAATCTTCTCCCTTATAATTAATCAGTTTGTGTCACTCATGCTGGATCATTAAATAGATGGGACGGCATAAGTTAGTTCCAAGTTGGCTTAAAAGTCAAGGCCTCTATTTAGTTGGGTCTGGGGTTAAAGGGCTCCCTAGGCCTGCTTAATGGTTAACAAACCTATTTGAAGCCACTGCAGGGTCCTGCATTTTGACACTATTAATAGACAACCTGTAGGTTTGTTTTATGTTTTTGTATCACTAAATATGTAAATGTTTTTTTTTTATTCTTCAGAGCAGGAAACATGCTGTTAAATATCACCGGTACTTGTCCATTCACCAGGGAGAAGGTGTAACACCAGCAAAAAGGAGAGCTGATGGCGCTTTGGTAATAGTCTTATCTTACTCAAAAGTGATTCTTTCAGTAGTATTGACAAATGCAGTGGAACTTTAGCTGTAATTTGTAACGCTATATATTGAAGTCTTCAGAGACCGTTCTTTGAACTTTCATGGTTTTGAATGGTCTGATACTTGATATAAATCAGTTTTCTTTTCTTTGTGCCCCTCTAAGGGCCAGTTCACACCATATGCAGTTGTGATGCAGTCTGTATATTTCAACTGCTGCAGTTAAAATACATCACAATGCTTTCCTTTGGGTTTTCTTGTGCCTAATTCACATCAGTGCAGTCAGTTCAACTGCAGTCAGAAAAAGTACTGCTTGTCCTATTTTACCTGCCTCTAACTGCACTAAATGCATAAAACGCACAAAAACGCAACGGACTGCATACAAAAAAGAAACTGCATCGATTGTGGCAACCTCCAGGGAGAAAAATGCATCAAAAGGGATCGACGCACGCAGTTGTGATGCATTTTCTGGTGTGAACTAACCCTTGGAGTCACAATCTTAAAGTCCATTCCCACCTTTTTGTAAGTGATTAGCATTTACTGTGGTAATGTAGAGGTGTAGTGGTGCACATTTTCATGACTCGCATTGCAGGCTTTCTTCATTTTTTATATGAAGGTTTTATTAGGCCTGAATTAAAAATGTTCTCCACTGGAAAATCAGTCTGACACCAGGGTGTCAGACTGTAATTAGCTGCCCCCCTCCCTGTCACCCATTATAACATGACCAGTAAACACTAGCTCTGCCTTTACATACACAACACTGTTGGGGGGTGGGGGGGTTTGGATATGCACACTGCTTGCACAGCGCAGAGGCACACGTTTCCATGTGGATACGAAGAGGAGAGCTAACCAAACATACGTTTGTGTTCATATACATCAGCTGCATATGTCTGCTTCATGTACACTTGGTGTACATTACTGGCATATGTTTTTAAAAATATCTGCAAAGGTGGAAATGGCCTTTAAACTTGGCTTGAAGCTGGCATTTAAAGTGCTAAACCTGTCGTGGACCTTTTAAATAGTAGTAGCTAAAGAGTAGATTGTGATGTTAGAATTGATGTTTTTTTTTCTTTTTAATTGCCACTAAATGCCCAGTTTTTGCGTTTTAATAATTCAAAGAGGGGGT